CCCCCCCCCTTCCATTCTGCGGTGTGATGTCACACGCCGCTCTGACCGTGAACTTCACGGTTTCATGGTGCTGACAATGGATTCCCCACAGACACGGGAGGTCTGAGCCCTGAGAACCAGACTGTTACCCTGCCCACCCCCTTCCAGGTCACATGTCTGCATCTGCCGCCGACCCCACCCCCCACCCCATCCCACCACTGCTAATCACGCCAATTAACAGTCTGAGTTTTGTTTACCAGCTCAATTTTTACCAGAGTGCTCAGGTGTGCCAATCAGACCCCCACAGACCTGCACAGACCCCCACAGACCTGCACAGACCCCCACCAGACCTGCACAGACCCCCACAGACCTGTACAGACACCCACACCCTCCACAGACCTGCACAGACCTGCACAGACCAGCACAGGCCCCCACAGACCTGCACAGACCTGCACAGACCCCTACAGACCCCCACAGACCAGCACAGACCTGCACAGACCTGCACAGACCAGCACAGACCCTAACAGACCAGCACAGACCTGCACAGACCCTAACAGACCTCCACAGACCTCCACAGACCCCCACAGACCAGCACAGACCCTAACAGACCAGCACAGACCTGCACAGACCTCCACAGACCAGCACAGACCTACACAGACCCCCACAGACCAGCACAGACCCCCACAGACCAGCACAGACCCCACAGACCTGCACAGACCCCACAGACCTGCACAGACCTCCCATCAGCTCTTGGGCGCTCTGGGTCATCAGCTGACTGACAGTCTGGAGAGTTTCTCGCTCTCGACACATCATCAAGTTCAACAACAAAACACACTGAGCGCGCTCAGTCTACTGCATAGAAATGAGTCTGATGAATATGAACGTGACCTTCTGTCCTCATCACACACACACACACACACTGTGGTTTCATAGAGATGGGAACTTTAAACCAAACTGGAGTTCAGAGCCTCACAGACACACTGGGACCAGTTAAAACCAGTTTATTATGTTTTACTGTCCAGAAAGGAGCCAAGAAAACACCTGAGAGACTGTAAACAAACAAAGAGAGGAAAACAATGATGGAAGAAATGAAGGCATAATCAAAGATATAAAGAAGAAAGGAAGGAATAATAGGTGACCTTTCAAAGTTAAAGGAAGAAACAAAAGGAGGCATTAAAGGAAACAGGAAAAGGAAAGGAAGGATCACAGAGAATTACAAGGAATGAAGAAAATCAAGCTTTAATTGCTGTTTTTCATTTTACTGTCACGTGACTTCATGTCTTCTCATTCTGAGCTATGACATTTTTTCAGATCTTTCATTTGTGGTTTTCTGAATGAGCTCTGCCTCATCACACGCTATTCTGTAATCTAACTGGTTTAGTCAGTGTGAGTGTGAGTCTGACCTGAGCAGCAGAGTCCCTCCAGCAGCAGCAGCAGCATCCAGCTCCACGTCTTCTTCATGCTTTAGGTTAAATCCAGAACATCAGATGCACGCAGGTCTCAGCACTGCTCTTCTTCCTTTGCACCTTCTTCTTCTGAATCTGAAACCTGTGCAGCTCACATGCGCTGCTGAACTCTGCAAGTCTGACTTCAAATTGAGCCTGCACTCAGGGGCTGAGGGGGAGGAGCCTACAACGGGGGGCGGGCAGGGAGGAGAGAGGAGGTGGGAGGAGGGGAGTATGGGAGAGGATGGAAATCAGGAAACCAGACCAAGGAAATGAAGGAAGGGGTTCTGCTGGCTTTATTTTAGTAGAAGTCTGAATTGACTCAGGTGTGCAGGTGTGCTGCAGGCAGGTCCTCACCTGTTCCTGCTGCTGAGGTGCAGACGGTACGTGTTTGAAGACAGCAGCTGATAAGGCGGCACTGACAGCGGTTTTTTGGTTCAGTCTAAACGCCAACTTCCTTCAGCTCAAACATCCTGCTGTGGTCTCACTCCGTCCAAACGAGCACTTTAACAGGACAGAGTACAGGTGGAGGTGGAGGTGGAGGTGGAGGGGGCAGTCAGCAAGTGTAAGAATTCAAAGAACTGAAATTTAAACAGAAAGTGGAACACAGGGTCAAAGGTCAGACACTCATGTAATAACAGGAGAAAGTGGGGCAAAGAAACAGAAAGGAGGAAGTAATCACAGGGTTAGATACGCAGCCAATAACAGAGCAGATCCAGGGCAGCATGGCAGGTGTCTCAGTGAAGACGGACAAGCTGAGAGCTTCCAGCTTTGATCCCACAGGTGAGCTGATCAATCTACAGGTGAGTGTTACACTGTTATTGTGGCACCATCACGCCCGTGCTGCTGATTCTCGGACCTTCACCCAGCTCAGTGGACGGTGCTAATACAAAAAGAAGAAGTTAAACCAGGCGTCTCACACTCAAATGAGCGGGCTGGCACTGGAGGGCCACCTTAATGTTCAAGGAATACAAAGTGTTTGTTTTTAACCCTGTAAGACCCAGGCCATCAAAAAATAACCAGAAAATTCTCATGTTTTGGAACTGAGATGTTTATAAACCCTTATAACAAAATCCACATTTTTTCTGCAGCATCATGTTGTGTATGATATATTTTTATTATATATATTTTTTATCGCATCTGATACATTGGGCATTTATGGCTACTTTTTGTTAACAACAATGTTAATTTTAGACAAAAACAGTTTTGTCCATAACATTTTGAAATTATGGCACATGTTGATCATGATACAAAGGGTATTATAGGTTTAATTTCAAATATTACATAATAATAAAAACTGCAAATGTGAGTGCAAATCTTTTTTCCTCAGTCTTAATTAACTGAAGCTTTTGAGTGAACTAACAGTCAGACACATTAGTCCTCTGTTTCTGGACACACACATGACAGCACTTCTATCATTTAACACAATATTAATGCAGACACTTGTGTACACATTAGAGCTGTTGCACTCCACAACAAGTAAATCCTCCTAACAAAAAGGAACTTCCAGGACCAAACAGCATTATATGTTTTACGTGAATCTATGGTCCGGAACTGGAGGTGACACGGGCCGGAAGAGGCCCCTGTGCAGGGAGTTTGAGACGCCTGAGCTAAACCGTCGGAAACACTTCTGACCTGTAGGTGGCGATGGCGGACCGAAGCAGCAGCACGCCGCAGAAAAAGAAGAAGCTGTGATGGCGCGGAGCAGCACGTAAACAGATGTGAACAGATGTTTTAGCGCATAGAAACAGGACAGCTGCTCCGACAGAGACCCGAGGAAGAGATGAGAGAGAGCGGAGTCAGAAGGCGCGACGGGACGGACTGAGGCTGCAGAGAGAGGCGCACTGACGGTTAGGGAGCTCCGCTAACACCGCTGCTAACAGCTAACACATGCTAACAGCGGTTAACAGCTACAACCCGCTGCTGGAGGTCCGCCTCACCAGGTGTCCAGGTGGGAACTGTCCCCGCACCGTGATTGGCCTCTGTCTCCATACACACAGAAAGACATGACATGCACATAATGTGCTGTTTATCTTTTTCATTCAAACAGCTTTGGCTTTTTAATCCGGTTACTCGGGTTTACTTGAATCTCTCATGTGTGTCACCTGTGAGGTTCAAGGTTCTTTATTTGTCACATGCATAGTTATACAAGTATAACACACAGTGAAATGTAGCCTGACACGCTCCTCGACATGTGCAAAAATGGGG